ATCTTACAGCCATGTGGTCATTGGTTGATGTTGATGACTTTGGTGTCAAACTTTTCTGTTGGTCTTTTCTTTCCCCAGAACAACCAGGTAAAGAGTTTCATGTCAGAGCTGCTGAAACTGAGGAGCAGGGAGGAACTTCCATCCCAGGCTCCGCACCTTCGTTGTTGTCATCGTCCTCCGGCTCCAGCTCTGCAGCCGCTCAGCCCAAATCCTCAGAGAACATCAGCAGCAGCAGCACAGAGGGAGACGTGGCCTCCAGCTCAGGCAGGAAGTGGCAGATAAGTCGCCAGCTGAGCAGAAACAAAGAGACTTGCAGCCGAGCCGTGGAGGATCTGACGCAGCACGAGATCTTCCTCTCCTTCAAAGGAAACCAGTTCAAGCGGAACGGCATGGGCGACTTTGGCACCTTTTACTACTGAAGACTATATTTTTTTAAAACATCATCAGTTGCTCCGAGGAATCACTCTTCGCTGACGACATCATATTTTAGCTGATTTCATATTAAGTGAAATAAATTGTGTTGAATTATGTGCAGAATAAGGATGGCTGTAATATTAATTAGTGTGTTTATAACAGCAGTGGCTTCAGATTTTAGATTATTTATTTTCTTTGGGCTCCTGATGCATATTTTAATTTTTTTTTTTCAAACTCTTTTTCAGTTCTTTTAGTTTTTGCTGATATCACTTCTGTTAAATGTGATTCTGAAGGTGGTGGCACCTGAGCACTATAATTGGTTTGTTTGTTCACACGTGATAAGGTTTTTGTACATGGTGTAAAAAGGTTAATTTTACAATTATCGGGATTTTTAGGGTTGATTTTCCAGGGTTTTTTTTTCAAGTCTTATGGTTGGTTCTCTGAGTGTAGCTGCATGACGAGTGTACAATAAGATTTAGACGGTGATGGAGTTCAGGTGAAGTGATAGTTGAGGGGTTTTTGAAGTCACTTGGTGAATGGATGTCTGTTCTTTCACATCTAACGTTGTCTTTAAGAATATGATCACTGCTTTCTCATCGTTACAGAGCCAGTTCTGCCGCACCAAAACCCATAGAGAAATGTGGTGTTTCTAATTTTTGCCGAGTCACCAAATCTCCCGTCAGATAAGTTCCTCACCTTTCAAAGATTTTTTTTTTAATTCACTAAGTGTCATATTTCTGTTCACTTTGGTGGGGGATGAAGTGTATCGGCAATGCGGCTGCTGGTAATTTATGTAGCAACACATTGTAAATAGAGCGACATGAACATATAATTGAACGGACGCCATTTTACGACAAAACTGCCTGTATTTTCATTGTTTTAATTTGACTTCCAAGCTGCTTGTTTTGTTTGTTTTTTTTTTACTTTATTTGCTTCACAAGACTTTATTTGCTTCAAAGTCCGATTAAACATGTTTTAAAACAACCGTCAATAAACTGTTTTATCGATTAAAAAAAATCAATTACTTTATGATCCAGGCGGGTCAACAACATTCCGATGTATAGCTTTCAAACAGGAGCATGTAAAATTGTCGATTATAGTTTCTGTACTGAGCCTGTGAGGTCCACAGCTGACCAGTAGACGGCGTAAATCGCTTTAGAAAAACCCGGGAGATTTCTTAGTTGTAAATGATTTACTATGATCAAAAATGAACAAAAATACAACCAACGGATATGTAACGGTATAATTTTAAAGATTGTAGAGCGCCACAACTCTGGAAATAAAAACTGCACAAAGTGTGAAATTCAGAATTTTACTGGAAAAAGGTGCAAAACAAATGGAAAAACAGTTGGTCTTAATGAGTAACATGAAGAGATTCGGATACATGCATGTCCATCGCAGGTCTGCGTTAACAGGAAACACTGTTAACCACATTAAATATTTTAAACACAGGCAACGAGTGTCAGTCATCAAATAAGGCAGAGCAGCTGAGGGTCATCTATGTTCGCGTGGTTTTTAAAAAATATGATTTATTTTTTTCTGATAAAAATATTATCACTTGATTGACTTCAGTAGAAAATCTTAAGGATGACCCGTGTAATAATGAGAGGGAAATGACCTGGGGGGGGCGGTGGGGGTGACATCACTACTGCTCACAGTGGGGGTTGTGGTCACTGCCCAGGTGGGCCTCCACCTCCTCAGCACTGACCATCTCTGGGCTGATGGCAGCGTATCTGGTTCCGTGGAACTGGCGCAAGTGAATCTGGAGATTGAAAAAGTTACACAGACAAAATTAATGAAGCAACTTTTTTTTTTTTACTATTTCTGGCTAATTTTCAGACTTGTATTTATCTTTGGAATTTTCCATATGATTGTTGACTTTCAGTAATTATTTCAAACCTTTTCTTCCAACGTTAACATGTTCGGACACAGGTTTTAGATGTGTTTGGCTAACCTCATGGCTAACATTGTTGCAGATATAATTCCAGCCTCTGTACAGTGAGTACAGTGATCTGACTACAGTGGACGTTGCTGACGTGACTCCACCTGTATGTAGAGGTTGACCTCAGCACTTCGACACAGGTACGGGAAGTTGCCCCCTGTTTTTAGGTGAGCTCGTCTGGCGTTGGGATACAGTTTGTACATTTCCTCCTTGGCCTCTAGAGACAGCGCGCTCTGGTCAAACACCTGAGCATTCAAATACAAACAACAACATACACTTTATCTCCCACGGTTAGCAGCGAGACACTTGTGGTGGCACAAATAAAAAATAAATCAAGTTGCTCAGTCGTTACCCACATCTATAATAGTGATGGAAACGTCTTTGATTTTGTGAGGCTCCACGTAGGAGTTCTGGCAGTTGAGCGTTAGCCGTGATGCTAATTCACTTTGGCTCAGACTCTCCAGCTGTAACACACCCAAACACGGGTACATGTAAAACTCGAACATTAAATTGGTAACATTCTTCAGGAAACACGGTTAAAATGGTTGACACAAAGGTGGCGCTGGTGTCCCATTTTTGGGCAGCGTCCCTATAGTTAACCAATTATTCAGAAGAAAATAATGTGGTTGTCAGAGAAAATCTTTTAAATTTAGCTTAAAATGTGACAGTCTGTGTATTATTCTGTCTATACTGTGGCTAATTATCCCCAGATTTGTAAAGTGAGTAATTATTATTGACGACCACAGGGTTGTAATTGCCCTGCTGGTCAAATTCTTTGCTCTCTCGTGACTCGTGGCTCCCAGGCTGAAAGAACTTGTTAACATCCACTCACTCTGTCAACCATGAAATCAATCGCATCAGCCATTTGAGGGTCCACGGGTCCTTTAGCAAAATTACCCAGAACGATTTTCTTCAACATGAACGCTGGCATCAACCAGAAGCTGGAGAGAGAGAGAATAAGAACACAAACTGGAACTACACAGGAAGGAGGTGCAGAAAGGAGTCGGCGAACACACACCTGCTGGCCGTCCAGGTCTGATTGAAGATGGAGGTGTCGCTGAATGAGTTACACAGGACTAACGAGTGAACCCGGGGAGACTTATGTGTGTGCTCTGCAAACTTCTGAGCCAAGAATCCTCCCAGGGACGCACCGAATAAATGGACCTGACGACATGAGGAACAGGAATACAATAGCATCATCCAGAGGAGGAGAAGGGAGAACCCAGAACAGTTTTGTGGATGTGGATATTAAAGAAGACGTGGAGACTGACTCGACCTGACACGTCAGGTAGATCTCATCAACCTTTCCATCACTACTGTTAGAGGAGCCTGAGAAGGGAAGTCGGCCATAGGGAAGTAAAGGAAGGGAAATTACGGTAATATAAAGATGGGAATGGTGTGTGTTTACCTTGGCGCCACAGTCTGGAACATTCCTTGTTGGAGTACATTTTCCTCTCAGCATCTATTTTTAATAAACATTTCCTAAACACACGAGTGTGAGTCATTTCAGAGCTGTGCAGTCTTACTTTATCTAGCTGCAGATGATCCAGTAACTTCCTGAAACCATCGCAAAACTCCATGAGATCCCAGTACACGGGGTACTGTAGCTGAAAAGACAGCAAATACCGAAGGTTTGAACACGTACCGTACATTGATCAAACAGTCGAAATGAGACGTTTAAAAACCCAAACTGACTGAGATGACTCTGTAGCCCCAGCCTGTCAGAGCCAACACCTGCTGGAAAAACACTTCTGCAGTTCCACTGACAGGAGGAAGGAAGATGATGGGACACCTGATGCTCTTAGGCCCCGCATCGTAGAGTGACCACACCTTACTGTCGTCGTCGTCGACGATGATCTGGGGAGACAGAAAAGAAATAGAATCTGGTTGATGTCCAAACAGGTGTTTTATTTTAACTGTAAACATTAGCTTTACAAACTTTTAGTGATTTAGTTAATGTTTTTTTTTTGTGATATCTCAATGTATCTTTTGGCAAAAATCCAAAACATGGCTGTTTTTTGGTGTTTTTGCTAACCTTTAGCTAAACTTATTTTGCTGTTATAGCTTATTTTGCTGGGTATTTTTGTCAGTATTCTGATTTACTATCTGACCATCATGACATCATGTGACATATTAACATTTGTACAAACATTTAGCAGTGGAGTGTTATATATATATATATATCACAGGCCTTTTGAAAAACCCAATAACCCCTTTAAAAGCTAAACACAAAGCCTCTGTCTATCTGTACAAAATGTTTTTTTGGAGTATTGTTACGGCCTGCCGATCTGACAAATGATATTTTGTAAAGTTTATGGGGTCACGTGACTCCCCAGAGGACAGAAATAGGGGAGTAAAAGGGCAAGCAGCACATTAAGTGAGTCAGCTTCAGAGAATCACTAATCAGCTGATGTGTGTCGGAGGCCTCCAGGACGGCTCCGTTAACAAAATCAATGAAAGCTGGAATTCAAGAAAAGCCTGGAATCTGTTCAAGAAGTTGGTCAAAGGCTGTAGAGACAGGATTTGTTCTTTTTAGTGTTATATATTTTGCAAACTTTGGCCCGTGGGCCACATACTTCCCGCTTAGCTTCCTAATTCAGCCCGTCAAACACTGTTAACAGGTTGTCTGTTTTAAAGAAAAGCCTGAAGTCAATATTTTCCTGATTCATCAAGATCAAATATGTATGTATGGAACAGTTATGAAAAAAAGGGACAAATTTGATTTTTTTTTTTTAGGTTTATTCTTGTACATTTTATTCATATCATTTCACACAAACATTCTACATGCAACCAGTACTGATCCAGTACTGAACCTGACTATGGCCGTGTGCCAAACCCCTGTTCCACAGAATCTCCAGTTGTGTGGATATTATTATTGTTTTCCACTCGTATATTTTCTCCCTGTCGTTTTTTTTTTTCACTCTGTGTAAACCTGATATTACTGTGTTATTTACTGTGTACTTTGATCAGAGAATTCAAACTGTTTCCAGCTTCAGTTTGAGTATTTTAGTACACACCGTGTGTGGTATTAGACTGTTGGCTCACAATGACCTGTATTCAAACTTTAGGCTTATCTGCAGTGCAAGCTGACAAAACCTGCAGTGTTGGATTAGGCAAGAACTTATCCTGGCCTCATTAGACCTGAACTGGATTTCATAATAAAGATGGCAGACATACTGTAGCAATGATTATTTTTTTTTTTTTTTTTTCTCTTTGTTAACCTCATATTTTTTTTTGTTTTTTTTTGTTTTTTTTTGTTTTTTTTTTTTTTTTCTCTTTGTTAACCTCATATTTTTTTTTGTTTTTTTTTGTTTTTTTTTTTTTTTTTCTCTTTGTTAACCTCATATTTTTTTTTGTTTTTTTTTGTTTTTTTTTTTTTTTCTCTTTGTTAACCTCATATTTTTTTTTGTTTTTTTTTTTTTTTTCTTTTCTCTTTGGTTCATCTCTTTGTTCACTTTGGTTTAACTGTACAGTGTTGTATATTTACAGCCTTGTGCTGGTGAGTCAGTGACAGCTGTCAGATGATGCATGACTGAGTTTGAACTTTATCACATGTCCTGTTTTCGCAGTTTAATTTTCATCATATTTGCTTAATGATAACGTGTAACGTGAGACAATGGACAATGGCTCTGGTACTCACTCGCTTCAGAGGCACCGTACTCCTGAACCAGTTATAGTCCGGGGACACTTTGATCTCCTCCATCTGAGGCACAAGACAAAAAGGACAGTCAGTGAAGAAGAGGACACCGGACAAAAGTCGAAACTTGTGTGACTAAGAAACACGTGTCAAAAGTCACACGCTGTAGCTTTAATAACCAGGACAACAAAGACACACAGGGAGACACTGCAGGACTTGGACAGACACGATGGGTGAAGACACAGACCCCAAGAAAAGTTAACAAACAGAAGTTGGACAGTGACTTAGTCGAGTCAGAGAAAGAGACTTATTGGACAAACACACACGAATTAATATAAAAACAATATTAGACAGAAATGCAGTGGACACAGTTGGACACAAAACACAAGCACAAAAATGCTAACAAAACAGCTGGACAGAGTCAAAAACAGAGACATTTGGACAAAGGTGTAGGAAAATACACCTGTACTGTCTGTCAAAAACCTAGTAGGACAGCGGGACGGAAATGAACAGAACCAGAGACACGGTCAGACACAGAGACGTGTTAAACCAAATCAGACGGTGACCGACTGATGGACAGAAGAAAACAATAGCATAAAGTGCAATGTTTGAAACTGTCAGACACAGTCAAAAAGAAAGTTAAAGTCACGAACACCTGAGCGAGAGAGAGACGGTTGAAGAGATACATACAATACACAGGCTGACAAATAGAGCGGCTCAGATACTGGAGCTCGGAGAGAACAGAAAGCCTCCACAAGCCTCCTGGAGGAAATATTCATAATGAGGAACCAACGTAGTGCAAATTTTACAGTGATGAGCAGTAAAATGATAACCGACCCTCACTAGACCACCGACGAAGTCACATTAACTGGTCCCACAGAGAACCGATTGATTTCAAACATAGTCCGTGTTCAAATAAGATTGAACGGTGATGTTACCGTGCAGGTTGTGGATGTTAGTCACCGTGTCAGGAGGAGTTTATCCATTTCTCGGCACCATTTTCTTCGCTCGCACTGCTGCCAATGTTGCTGCTCCTCGGTCATATGACTTCTGTTTTACACACTTCCGCAAATCATCTAACCCCGCCCACAAAGTGAAACGTCACAGACGTAACCAACGCAGCCCTCGTTACAGACCCTAAAGGACCGTGTCTTCTAAGTTTGATATTATTCTATACACACTTTAATAGAGTTGTATTTTTTTCTACTTTTTTCTATTTTTTATTTTATTATTTCTATTATTTAACCGGTATGCGTCGTCTAATGCTAAGCTACATACCGTAAAATTAATTAATGGTAATGCTTTGGCTTAGTTTAAGCTACCTTTCTTTTTATTTCAAATAGTAGGGTTGCTACCCGTATCGTAAGAAATCGGAATCGTCCTGCATAGTCACAAATATTAAAATTACCTCAACAGGTGTTTCTAAATTATAAACTGGTCTTTACCGTTGTCATCTTCCTCCTCTAACTCTGCACCAAAAATGTTATTTTCCGGTGGAGTCACGACACAGTATGACGTCAGCGTCTGAAAAGTTCACCGCGTGCTTTAAAAGCCACATATGTACGATACGACGTTGTTGCTAAATGACAGAGTTCACCGCGTGCTTTAAAAGCCACAGATGTACGATACGACGTTGTTGCTAAATGGCGGCCCGATCTGGTCCGACAGAACTGCTGGGATTGAAAGCTAAGTGGCTTTTGTATTTTTGTTTTGTTTTTGTTTTTTTATTCCTTACTGTTGAAGTTTCGACTCAGTTATTTAATCTTAATCTAATCTCTTAAATATCTGAGACTTTAAGTGGATGAAAACATTTTTTTTGCTGAGACTTTACTTTAAGTGGATGAAAACATTTTTTTTTTTGAATTGCTGAAACTAATTAAGAAATGGCTGACCCTGGGCAGAATTTGTTTGGAAAATATGTTTACTTATTGAATCATCTTTGGCAGTGTTAGTGTTTAAAGTACAGTTTCAGTGTTTTCTACAGTAAATTCAAAATTCGTCCGTGGGTAAAATATTTACTCCTGAAACTGAAAGACAAGGTCCCTTATTTCCCAGTGTGGCCATGTGGAAATATTTGACATTTTATGAAGCTTGTTAATCTGCTGCTATGAAGTCACGAGTTGTTGGATTTAAATTACTATTCAGCTCTTAGATGTTGTGTTTAATTTTTCCATGTTTAATGGAAACTAATCATAGTTGTCAAACTGAGACCAATTGGTCTTAAATGATCTTTAACGTCGGTATACAGTTGTTGTATAAGTTGTACCCCAAATTCTTAAGTATTTTAAAATAAAAAAGAACAGAATGGGGGGCTGTTTTTATAGTGTATCAATAATGTAAATGCCATCATTTGTACTGTATAGTCAACACTAAGCACCAAAGACCTTTGCAAGTCGCAGCTCTCGCTGGACGTTGTAGTGCCAATGTTCACCTCGTTATGCTCTGGGCGCTGTGGCGCACTAAACGCCCGAAATACTGGAGCAAAGAAAGGTCCGGCAGTGACGTAGGCAATATGGCTCCTCTGCTGGAGAAGACTCCACGATAAATAAAAGAAGACTAAGCACAACTAAAACATGGACAACGTGTATCAAAACCAGGCGCCGCCACAAAGTCTTCAACATCCGGCCTACCCTGGCAGCTTTGTGGAACCTCCGTATCACAACAACGGGCCTCCTTTTCCACCCGGGGCTCCTCAAGCCTCACAGTGGGGTCCGGGGTCGGCTCCGACACAAGCGGCTCCTCACTGGACTCCTCCACTGGGATATTCCGGCCACCATCAATACGGACACAATCACCCACCGCCGAACAACACTGAATGTGTGGGATATGGAGGTCCCCACATA